TCGTAGAAAATAGGAAGGATAGAGCAATCCATTTTTCTATCCAAAAAATATTTCGGGATTGAATGTTGGTGATGGGAATGGAATAAGTAAGTCTAAATTTTCAGTTGTCATAACAAAACAGTTAAAAACTAATTACTGAAAGGCTGGACTGTACTGTAATCAAGACAATTCAATCATCTGCAGTTAAAGTCAGTTTACTACTTTTTTAATGTATTGAACATGATTCATTGGTGCACATTATTCTAAAGAAAACATGTTTGTAAAAATAGGATAATCTCTGAAACAATTATCCTTTTTGGGCAAAATCACCATGCCATCTTGGCTTTCAACTTCTTCCCTCCAAGCTTCTGGATCCATTTGAATTTCTCAATCAATTCCCGATGGATAAAATCAAGTCCCATACTACACATTTGTCTTGTTAAATATTCCATTCATTTGGAAATATGTCACATTAAGGAAGTAAAGAATACCATTTTAAGACTTTTAAGACCTCATGAAGTTACTTTTACGAGATCAGCGTTCTTTCCTATGTTGACATATTTCCTACTGAAACTAGAAGCAGGACGTTTTGGGTTTGTTACTTAAAAAAATAAAATACATAAGTTACATCACAACTATGAACCATGATTTGCTAGAGACCATCTGATCTAACAAACATCTGTGGAGCACAGGATGAGTCATCAATATTTTTGTTCTGTTTTTCCTAGGAGAGGAAGAATATAAATTTTAAACATGTACTGTTCAAGTCTGGGGTCAGTAAGATATTTTTTACACATTAAATAAATCAAAAGTGACAGTAAAGACATATATAATGTTACAAAAGATCTCTATTTCAAATAAGTGCTGTTCTTTTAAACATTCTATTCATTCAAGAATTCTGAAAAATGTATCACGGTTTCCACAAATATATTAAGCCACACAACTGTTTTCAACATTGATAATAATAAGAAATATTTCTTGAGCAAATCAGCATATAAGTATGATTTCTGATGGATCATGTGACACTAAAGAGTAGTGATGCTGAAAATGTAGCTTTGCCATCAGATGAATACGTTTCATTTTAAAATGTGTAGTTAATCAGCTCATAAGGGAAATATGAATAATTAATCATAACTAGTTATAATTAATTATAAATATTTAGATCCGCTGTAGATATTTACTTGACCTCTCAGGGTCAACTGTCTGTCAATTCTAAGAACGTTAATTTCCTGGTTAAGGGAAATAACTTTCTTACTGTACAATTCTACAAAGAGCTTGTACCATAAATCTGCATGATTAAGTGACTCCAGTTATGAGCAAACAATGAACAACGTCAAGTGTGATACAAGTAAGACTTTATTAACCACATAAACACTTAAACTAGTCTAACATACTACATAAACACTTAAACTGGTCTAACATACACAAAAATTGTGTTTTTGATTGGTCCAGACGCTACAAATGTATGCAAACAGAAAACAGTTATTTTAAATTGTACTGTAGCAATATTTTACAATATTACTGTTTTTACTGCATTTTTGACCAAACAATTATAGATTTGCTGACCATAAGAGACTTCTTCATAAGAGATCGTTAATGTGTATCTGCTAAATCCAGTCAACAAAAAGGAGCACACCAGTATTGTATTCTACATCAACGCCTGCTTCTACATCACTGCCTGTTTAGCCCCGCCCACTGATTCACGCACATAGTGGGTAAATAATGAGAAGGGCAAATGCAGGTTTACGCAGAAATCAAACGATAAAAATAGCTCTGAAGACAATAAGACACTGTGCAGAGCCAAGCTGTAGAAACAGTATTTGCATTGCCTTCCTTCTGATCGCAATATTAGGAAAGAGTGAATGAACTTTATTTTTAATTAAATGCCAGATGCGTCAGTAAGAACTTGGTCCTTTATGCACTTTATTTTACTGTGGATTCGTTTACAAACAAAGCACAATTCAATGCAGGATTTTCAGAAAGTTTGAACTGTTACACAACTGTTAGCCAATCAAAGCAGTGGGCGTTTACTTCAGAGTCTACAATCCGCCACACCTATTCAAACAGAGCGTTCTGATGAGGGGGTTCAAAACAGGACAGAAAATAGTCTAATACTTATAAATTTTGATGTTTGTTGATGTAAAAATCTTGATAATATTATAAGGGGACATCAGAGAACAGTACAAGATAATAAAAAAGGCAGTTTATGGCCCCTTTTTCTCTATAATCCACTGCAACAGCTTTTACTCCTCTGAAGTCAAGGGAGTTTTATTTGGCAAACAGCATCTCTGTTGCTTTTCAGCTCATTTAAATGAAGGATCACAATGTGGCAGGCAGTGGGCAGGAACGTTCTGTACACGTTTTCCATGCACAAACAGAGGAGGGAGGGACTTCAAGAGCAGACAGCTTTTTTTTTAACAGCTCCAGACTACGGATGGAGGAAAACAGCAGAGCGGAATGGAAAGAGGGCTGGCAAACGTGACCTAATGGACTGCAGACTTCACATGTGACCCAAACATTGGATCTCTCTGCTCAGTATACACTGTTGCTCTCCACACAGCACGGGTGGTCCCGTATCATCATAATGACCTAACGTGAGGCATTAAAGCTATCTTCCCTGCTGGAAAGACTGGGTTAAACCAGCATGAATTTCCATTATTTTTTTCATGCTGGAGATGCTGCTCAGATATCATGATCTTTCTGGTGAAGTTGGTAGAGGTGGTTAAAGGTTTGTTCCCCAAACATTTCAATTCTATAATCATTTACTTAACCTCATGTTGTTCCAAGACTTTCCATCATCCTCAAAAATAAATGCAAATATTTATAAAGAAACTTGTCCCATCTATTCAAAGTCAAAAAAGGTCATAAAGAGATCTTAAAGTAACCCATATGAATTGAGCAGTTTGAACATGTTAAGCATGAATCAGTGAGGTTCTTGCACATCAAGCAAGTATGGTTGAGCTTTCATTTACCATACTGGATGTGCTCTATATGTGCAGTAATGAACGCTTATACAGTATGTGAATCAAAGCCTAAACTAAATCGGTTCATCATATACAGCGATCATGTTTCTTAAGTAGGATTAAATTAAACCACTCAATTAGTGTGGATGTCTTTTATGATTTCATGAACTTTTTAAAACATCAGTGTTTTGATGAAAGCCTTTCAATAGAGGGACAGAAATCTCTAAGGTTTCATTAAAAATATCTTAATTTGTGTTCCAAAAATGAGCGAATGGTTTATGAACGAATGAGTAAAGGATGACAGAATATTGTGTTAAAACCATTTTTTGATGAACTAACCCAGTCACACTTTATTTTAAGGTCCAATTCTCACCATTAACAAACCATTAAAAATGACATTTGCCTCAATAAACTCCTAATTTGCTGCTTATCAACAGTTAGTAAGGTAGTTGTTAAGTTTAGGTATTGGGTAGGATTAGGGATGTGGAATATGGTCATGTATAATATGTGCTTTATAAATACTTATAACAGCTAATATGTTAATAATAGGCATGCTAATAAGCAACTCGTTAATAGTGAGAATTGGTCCCTAAACTAACGTGTTACCACTAACCCTTTATATCAGTCCATGCCAAACCATCTCAGGACATAACAAACAAATGTCTCAATGGCCAGCTATTGGACTAAGCTTAAAGAAATGCAAGGGAGTAGCTTTGCTTGATTTCAAAACATTTCAAATATGCAGGGGAGCAGAACCAAAACAACTCTGTATGTCAACAACAAAATTGCTGATAAGATGAATTAAGTTCATTATGCTGCAAGGATGAAGGTTTAGGCCTCTTTTTTAACACCTGCCTGAAAGTTAATAAGACATTAATACAACCTGCTTCAGTGAGGGATGGACAAACAAGTCTGAACCTGTGCTCCTACACATAAGGTTATGCATTGCTTTTGATGGAGTACATAGTTAAGACGCGGGTGCTTATATTATCAGGAGAAAGGTTTGTCTCCCCCCTTCTGTCTCTATGGCAACTGGCCCATAAAAACCTGTGATGCCCCCGTTGGCCGACCTCCCCACATCACTAGCAGTCTGGGCACTCGGCCAAACGTCCAAACATTTCAACCTGCAAAGACGCTGTCGCCAATGGCTCCCGCCAATTCATGAATAAAGGTAAAGGATGTTGGTTTCACAGGACTCGGACGAGCATGTTGCTCTGCGTGAGGGGCTTTATGGTGTCTGTCGTTTATCGTACATCTAAACACTCTGGAGGAGGGTCCAGGGTAAAACGGGAGTAAAGTATAACTCAAGCACGGATGACACAGCTATTCTCAAGAAATATCTAACAGTTAAACTCTAACCCAAACACCGATATATATACACATGCACACAACTGCACACTAAGATACACTCACAAACACAAATAAAGACATATTATTTACATAAAGACCTGGGAGCCAAATTTTTGGACACACTGGATTGAATTTCTGTTTTCCCATTATGTTAAAATATGTTGATGCTAAAAAAGACAAAAAATAGGCATTAAAAATACAATATGTATGTACAGTGGGTACGGAAAGTATTCAGACCCCCTTAAATTTTTCACTCTTTGTTATATTGCAGCCATTTGCTAAAATCATTTAAGTTAATTTTTTTTCCTCATTAATGTACACACAGCACCCCATATTGACAGAAAAACACAGAATTGTTGACATTTTTGCAGATTTATTAAAAAAGAAAAACTGAAATATCACAATATATATATATATATATATATATATACACACATATATAATGGGGAAAAAAAAAAAATAGTGCTAACAAACAATGACTAGGTGTGTCTCCAAACATTTGACTAGTCTTATAAATCACCAGCTCTACAACAGGACATAACAGTATTTCTGCAGGAAACCACTGTGCATTAATAAGAGCCTGAAGCCTATGAGAGTGCTGTATCTCTCCTGTTTGTCAAATGTTCAACATGAAGACCCTGGAGAAAACTTCCTGTGCTGATGTGGAGCAGATTTTGGACACAGTAAGTAAGGTTATGCAAGCTGTACCTGGAAGTTGCCGACCATGATGAGTCCTGCAGCACAGATCCAGCCAGTGGAGAGACTTGCTGTGTTTAACACACAGTTCTGGTGCTTCTCTATCACATGGGCATAGCGTAGCAACACTATCACCATCACTGAGAGTGGGAAGAGGACAAAAAATATTTTATAAAGAAACACAATAATTAAACTGTTGCTTTACCAACAATTGATAAGCACAAATTTAAAAGACACTGAATGTGAGTTTTTAAAGTGATAGTTCACCCAAAAATGAAAAGTCATTAATTACTCACTCTCATGTCGTTCCAAACCTGTAAGACCTTCGTTCATCTTCGGAGCACAAATTAAGATATTTTTGATTGTCTTACGGGTTTGGAACGACATGAGGTTGAGTAATTAATGACAGAATTGTCATTTTTGGGTGAACTAAACATTTAAATAAAAATCAATGCAAAATTCCCGAAGAAAAGCCTAGCAGCCTTAAACAATGTGGCATTGAAATATAAAACAGTCTGTGCCAATCATCTGGACAGTCTCCAACAGTCACTAAGACGTGCCTTGTCAAATGTTTATAACAACATTTTGCAGTTTTGCAACATTTAAGATTTCTAAAGTATGTGAGTTCATATTTGCATCCATATTTGGCAGACATTGTTAACCAAAGTTCATTCAAGGTATATACAATGCTATCTGTATAAACAGGGTCCAAAAGTAACACGCAATAAGTGCCAAATGAAAGTAAAAATTGGCTTTGGTGAGTAGAAGCATGAGAGTAAGTGATGTATGCTATCCAAAACAATCGGAAAAATCTGTTGTGACATGCCCTCATCTTCTAATGATTTCAACTTCTCAGCCGATATATATGAGGCATATCTAAAAAAAAATTTCTCCAGAAGTAGTGACACTTATGTCAAATATCCATTTGCCAAAATGAATACAATAAAACAGCGAAGCATCTTAACGCATTTGTGATAGGCACAGTTTCAGAGTTTTTTTTATTTTTATTTATGAACAGAAATAGCTAAATAGTCCAGTTATCGTAATATAGCCTATATCAACCTATCCATTACCCAAACCACTTGTCCTCTGTACGGTCACAGATATGCTAGAGCCTATATAGCCTATTTACTTTATAATAATATAACTTTTCATATATGTTTGAAATTTTGAAAGAAGTCTATTATGCTCACAAAGAATGCATTTATTTGATCAAAAATACAGTAAAAATTTTAAAATATTATAACTATTTCAAGAAACTGTTATACATTGTAATATATTTTAAAATGTCATTTATTCCTGTGATGCAAAGCTGAATTTTCAGCATCATTACTCCAGTCTTCAGTGTCACGTGATCCTTCAGAAATGCTAAAATGCTGATTTGCTGCTCAGGAAACATCTTTTGTAACATTATAAAAGTCTTTATTATCACTTTTGATCAATTTAATGCATCTTACCTGAATAAAAGTATAAAAACAAATCTTACTTGCTTCCAACTTTTGAACAGTAGCGCACCACAAATTTTCAAGAAACAGATTAAAGCTATCATTTAAAGTACAGGAACAAGTTAATCCGCTCTCCTTAGGTTGTTTTATCATATGTTTGTACAAATAAGTCATGAAGGCAAGCAGTACGCTATCTTACTAGGTTAGCGTGACCCAAAAAATGAGACAGAAGAACGATAGTCTCTTTACTTGTTTCCAAACCAGCTGTCCCTTAGACTCACTGAGTCAGACTCACTCTGACGAAACACGATTTCCAGTATTCTTTGGACAAGAAAATGCTCATTGTTTTCCTGGAAAATCTAAAGAAGCCTGGCAATGTGGAAAGACGAGGAGAGAGAGGATAAAAGAGGGACTTCATGGTGAGATCTCTAACGTAAATCAAGCTGCTGCAATCTGCTCAACTGTTTTACTGTTGGGTTAATGCTTAATGAAAACTGACTGGGGCAGATGTGGCCCGTTATAGTGGCAAAGTGTGTGTGTGTGTGTGGGGGGGGGGCTCAGCCCAATCCTCCCAGAACACTCCTGGTCAACATTAAAGCTGTTATGACATGATTACTTATAGTATTGAGACATTGCATGAAGGACCAGCATGAATTTACTTGCTGGTTATTGGTGGTCTTGCTTACAGACCAATACAGCCATGTTTCTAACCAGTATTATTCAAGACAACCAGCATGGTGAAGCTGGTTGATCAAGAAAGTCCTGCTGGTTAAGCTAGATCAAGAGCTCACTGAGGACCAGCATCCAAAACAAAACATGCTGGTGACCATTTATGCTGGTCTTTTTTGGAGAAAGCCAAGATGTAACTACATACTGTATAAGATATGTAACTTTTGTGGTTGTAACATATTTAGAAGGAGAAGTAACGAGCATGGAAAAACAAACAAGTCTGCAGGCGAAGATAATTAACTCTGTTTAATAAAATCCAGTTGAAACGGAACAACAGCAACAGAAATTGTGGTGTGTAATGGTTGTTTACTGCATTGGACTACACTGTCAGCTGCAGTCTTCCTTCCCAAGCATCTACTGCTGACGTTTCCCTCATGAATGGGCCATCAGTGGATATGGGCACAGGAAACAATGGAAATTCAGCATAGACAGCAATCTGTAAATGGCTAAATATATCTGCTTACCGCGGACTAACTTTAAACTTTATCTTCTTGTGCTCTGAACAACCCCAGAATCCCATTCTTCGAAATGGGTGTAACGAAAGGTCAAAAAAGGTCACAGTATTTCCAACTGCCTGTCTGTGTATATGTTTGTGTGTAGGTGTGTTTGTAAGCATAGTTTCCTGGAAATACGTTCTGCAGGACACAAGACTGGGGACTCAGAAACACATGGTACCCATTTGACATGGGCTATTATTATTTCTACCACCACACTTCACAGACAAAAAAAGCTATGTTCAACTCTAATCAAACTCTCTTTACATTAATGGCAACGTTTAGCCTGAAAATGTGCCTCTCTTGAGCTATAAAGGTCAAGGCGAGTAATATGCCTTGAGTGTGTCATTGGTTTGGCATCAATATGACAGCGTGGGAAAACACTAGGATTGCCAGACAGGGTGCTTGCAAACTACGGTTGTGCATTATTCAGAACTGAACTGAATTTCAATTGAGGGATGCAGAATTGCAATTCAAATTTGAAAGAAAAGTAAGTAGATTTGAAATTAATTAAACAGTTTGATAAATATTTTATAAAGCTTTGTAAAGTCGAACTTTGAATGTTGGCCTGACAAAACCTTTTTGCCAAAAAAAAAAAAAAGAAATTTGAAGATTTGCAGACAGGCAGATAGACTAAACTCTGAATTAATTTCTTTGCATTTCAATTCAGTACCTTTTCCTCTTCCTGTTATTCCAATCAGTGTTATTTTAGTATTATTTAGTATATACTATAATAGTATTTCTTAATATTTAAAATGTTATTTTTATATTTTCAGGTTTTAATTTTAGTTTAATTTCATTATGTGTTTTTGTCATTTTGTTTTTTAGTTGCTTGTATTTAGCTTTATTTTTATTTCTATTTTATTTATTTTATTTTTAATAATAATTTCAGTTCATTTAGTTAGTCCTTTTAGTAATTTCAGGACTTTAACTTAGTTATTTTATTTCAGTAAAGAGAACATTTCAAATCTTTGGTTTTTAAGTTTTTCATCTAATATTTATATTTAAATTTATTTCCGTTTTATTTTCATTAAGGAACGCAATTTGTAATAGTTTTAATTACTTAATTAATAAGTTAATGTGGATGAGAGTGCTTTAAATCACAGGACAGATACTCATCCGCCAACCATCCATGGAAAACCCTTTAAAGGGCAATGAGATGTGAAAATTATAGCTTGTGAGGAATATTGTATGAGGATGACGCGACGACTCTAAATCAGTGCTCATAAAGAATTTCAGTCATGTAATCTCCTCTAATTTCTGTGTATCTCTGCTCCGAGAAGGTTCCAGTTAGTAAGAGGTGAAATGTGGCGGAAATACCGCAGCCCAAACACATTAGCGAGTCGACACCTGTCTATTTATGGATCACGGGTTTTCACCTTGGTGCAGCATTCCCTCAAGAGAACAAAAAACAAGAGATAAAAGTAAACAACAGCCCTGTCACAAGGTCTATGGGAGCCTAAACTAGCTTCGGTCAGTTCCTACTGCGAACTCTCTCCACCCTGTTTCCCCTCTGTTAGAGTGCTACAGTGCTGAGAGGTGTTTCCTCTAGTGCCGTGCCGACATCAAAAAAGCTCTTGAAAGCTCAGATTTGGGAACACTGAGTATTATATAAGCCAGAAGAAAACAATGCAGCCCTGGGGAACCGCTGATCACCCTTGATCGAAAGGTCGGCATGTGTTTTTATCGGGCCATGCACTGCGTTTTATAAACTTTTTTAGTGTAAACAACTGTATTACGGTCCTATTGTCCTGGAACGGTGATGCAATAAATCACGTAGCATTCGAGGAGGTTTTGTTTGATAGTCGTGTTATATAAAACACTTCGAAAAATAATTCAAAACCCAACTTTCTTGTATTGTTGGATGAACAATGGTAATTTCCTTGTGCAAACAGGCAGAGTCTGAATCTCCCAGCAGGAGAACACTCTCACTTATCGTTACACAGGGTGCGGGATTGAACACAACAATACAGCCCTTCAGCTCTCAGCATGAACCCTGCCACCAGGCCCAGACGCTCAGGTCAGAGGTCACACTGAACCAATCATTCTTTACAAGTCTCTCCTCTCACAGACCTGCTGTATAGTTTGCACTCCGCTGTAACCGACAGTATGTATGTGAAGTATAGCTCTGCTCACACAGGATACAGCTGAATTTATGTTCAGGGAGCCCCATGAGCCAAGTTTTATGGCTATGACTCACCGGTTCTTTTAAAAAAAGATGATTTTTTTAGTTCGATTTAGCTTAAGCATTTAAACGTTAGCTATTAACATTTGTATTTTAAGGGGATTTCTGTTCTTGTTTTTCTGCTTGGCCTCTGCTTGTTTTTCCTGGGATGTGATTCAAATTCAATTCAGATAATTTCTGAAGATGATTCATCCTTCCTGAACAGCAACTCACTTTGGCGTCTGATGACAATGTTTGGTAATGTGCAGTGACTGCATCGACCGCTCAGTTTTATAAATGCTTGAACGCACATATCCATTCAGCTTTTTTGAGTTGTGAAATACCAAAGTGACACGTAAACAATTGCTTTTCTAGGCAAGTTTAGAGAATGAGCAGTGTGTATAGCTCAGCTTTTATATGATAATGTCTTCTCCTAAAAATGTGACATGAGTGAACATAAATACATCCATAATTTTGAAGACAGTTGGCCTTGTATAGTTCGTCAACCAGTGGCTGTGATATTGCACAAATGCAAACACACTAAGCCTGTGGTTTCCTGAGCTGATTGCTGCCCAGACACTGAATCATTGTGCTACAGATGGGAATCATTTACTGGGGAGTGAACTACAGATTGATCTGAAATTCCAAAATCCAAATAAAGTTCAGGAATGCTATAAATGAGAGGAAAACGGAGGTTAACACTTAAAGGTAAAGTGTGCAATCTGCAAATTTTAAAATACTTTCTCCTATCCCAGGTTAACATGCAATAAATATGTAAGAAAGCTATTTGAAGCTTTCCCCAAAAAGTGTAAACACTGAGCTCTATGTTTGAGCATCATAATTAGCTAGACACAAGTTATAGGATGGCACTTTCTGTTAGTGTGATTTTTTTGTGGCTAAAGATTTCACTATGTGATATTAAATGCAAATAAAATCTAGAATGAGTAGAATGTACACTGCTGTTTAAAAGCTTTTGGCCAATATGTTTTAGTTTTTTCTTAAGAAAATTATACTTTTATTCTGCAAGGATGCATTAAATTGATAAATAGTGGCATATTTGTGATGCTACAAAACATTTATATTAAAAAAAAAAATCCTGAAAAAGAGTATTGTGGTTTGCATGAAGCATAGGTGTTTTTAACACTGATAAGAAATGTTTGTTAAGCATCAAATCAGCATTTTAGAATGATTTCTGAAGGATCATGTGAAATAAAAACTGGAGTAATGATGCTGAAAATTCAGTTTTGCATCACAGAAATAAATTACATTTAACACTAGAACTACCAAGGCAGTCATTTTGACCGTTTTTAAATTTTGAAATGTAATAACTCATCTGAAATAAAACCCATATAACTATAATACCCTGACTTTTCCTAAATGTGTGTATATTTTATTATAACATTGTTATTTTATTAAAATTACAAAACACAAACTAGTTCACAAAAGTTTCTACCTTGAATGGCCAAAGCGGTGAAATTGACCGTTCGCATTACAGACGGTGTATAATTTCTGCTTTTGCGATTTTTTTTCCCGCGGTTGAAGATGCACGTCACTGTTGCCTAGCAACTTTTGTTCTAGTTGTTTTTATATTCTATTGCTAAGCTAAAATTTCTGTTTGTAAAAAAGCCATGTGGACACCTCCAATACAACAACTGCTGTCATTCAATCTGCCACGGTTCCAGGTATGTTAGGCTGGAAGACTATAGCCTGGCTGTTATCAATAATAGTCTACTTCAATGTTATGACAAAATTGCCATAATAATAATAGCTATTATTATTTTTATGCTAGTGTAATGCTATAGCTAATGCTTATTTTAGCCCGGATAAGACTGATATTGTGAAATAAAACAAACTAATTAGGCTTTTTTTTAGCGACAGTGATGATGTTTATTATTACCTATACTATCATAACGGATCCATTTATTCATTGATCACGATTCTAGTGGTGGCTGCATAGAATTGTTTCTGATTCATGTGATCCAAACATTTCCAATAACTTCAGAGCGTTGTAAAGTTCAAAAGAAAAATGTATTGAAAAAAGATGTATGTAATCATTTCCAAAATTCACAACGCTTTATCTACAGAAATATTCTGCTTCCGTTCATATTTGTTGGCATTTAGACTTTCAAATACAACATTTTCACTGCGGTGAAAAACTTATGCTCTCCCGCTTGCTGGACACAAAGTGAGGCACGCACATTCGGGAGCGGTCTATGTAGCTTTTACACAATTAAATATTACCCAAAAAATCGCATTTTTAGGGTGATTACGTCATGAACTATGACGACAGACATTCAAAGCTTCATTGTAAAACATCAAAAGAAGCTTCGAATGTAAATATGATATGACAAAACTGGCATTCAGTTCAGTCTAGTAGGAACGGTCAGAATGACTGCTATGGCCATTCTAGTATAGAAGTTATAGAATTCCGGTAGTTCTAGTGTTAAAGCTACAGGCCGTAAGTTTTGCCTCTTTGTCGCCATCTCTGTTTGAAACCTGCAATTGCAGTTATTTGCGGAATTATTTTCTTAACGTGGGTTGTGCACGGCTCCAGCGCGGATGAATCTAATATTCTGAGGAGTATGTGTGGCTGTCAGTCACCACACCGGTGTGGATATCCACTGTACTTCGGAATCACAGATTCTAGCCTACATCTTGGAAATAAGACCTAAATAAAAATTTTCACCAGATATTTTAATCTGAACAAGTAAGTAACAAGTCTAAAAGTTTTGTTCTGACTAATTGAGGAAAATAAATTGTGCTACCATTTTGATTAAATCTAACAACCGATTAGCTCATATCACATCAAACCGTGCAAATTATTATTACTGTTATACTTTGTTCTCAAATTGTTCATGTTAACGTGTATGTAGTGTGAATTAGCTTTACATGTAGCTTTCAATTTCTGTACAGTCTAATCTCTAATTGTCATACCATTCAAATTTCATATAAAGAAATTATTTTAACCCAAAAAGCAAATTAGAACTGGTTCTCTTTGAAATACAAATCTTGTGTAATCCCACATAGGCTATCTGTAATCAAATGCAAATCAGATTTAAAACTGGAATATAATCTAATTTCAGTCACTTGTGTTTCATAAACACATAAACCTTTTTGGATTACAATCCGCCATCAAAATGGTAAATTTCATTATTCCAGCTGCTGTGAGAAGGAGGCTAGACGATCTGCCACCTGCAGGATCCTCACATGCGATAGCCTAGTAGCCGGGACAACTTATTTATGTTTACAGACGTGACGTAATGACAAAGCGCCATGCTCGAATTTCCCACGAATTCCTACCAGTACCACTCAAATTAGAAAACATTATTATAAGCTAACCGTTGTGAATCGGGCTAAGGTATGGAGATAGTTTTGAACACTGGCCGGTTATGTACTATGGATTTTGTATAATTTTTAACCAAAAAACTTATGTACTGCAGCTTTAAAAAATATTAAAATAGAAAACGGCTATTTTATATTACAATAATATTTCACAATATTACCGGTTTTACTGTATTTTTGATCAAATAAATTCAGCCTTGGTGAGCATAGATATTTCAAAAACATCTTACTGACTTCTAAACTGTAGTGTAAGTGGGAGGTGTGCATTGTAAACTCACCCATAAAGGATCCAGTGCTGCAGATGAGACTGAAGAAGCAGCTCTCTGGAGGAAGTGTGCCGCATTTACTGCAGATCAGAACATCAGAACAGAGGTTAGATGCCCAGGGTTCTCATTACATGAATAGACAAACATACATAGATGCACATTCCAAAGCAAATGGTCCTGAGGGATGAACTCCCATTGGCAGCTGACTAAAATAGGCCTGTTCGGCTCTTGGGAGCACACTGGCAGCTGTGGGTTATTGGGAAAAAATAAGGATAGAGCTAGAAGAGTCACTCTGTATGGGAACAAGCCAAAAGATAAGCAAAGATAGGGCCTTAACGGATGAAAGACTGGGCCAGCACCTCACCATGAAAGGAAATTGTCCTTTTAAACACACAGGTAATCATTACTGAAGACCATTTCAGTTTTATTTAACATGTCACTGTGGTATGAAGCCTTTAAAAGGAGATGAAGCTGCAAATAAATGGAGTAAACAAACGTAAACTTACAGGCAATCAGCTGAAAAGTGTTGAGAATAACAGGCTACATACTTCAGATCTCACTGGATCTCAACCAAAGATGTAAATTCTGTCATCATTTAATCACGCTCATGTCTTTCTAAACCTATGGCTTTTTTTCTTCTGTAGTTAGACTGAAGAATCTTTATGTCTTTTCCAAACAACATAAGAGTTAGTGAATTATGACAGAATAACTGTAAATCAACAGTAAGGCCATGTTCTCCTAATAAAAATTCTCTGAACCAAACTCAGCTTTCCTAAACCATGTAATAAGTTCCCGCTAAATGAGCCTCTGCTGGATTACATATAGCTATGCTTTCTATAAATAAATCACTGAGGTGTTAAGCTCTATAATGATAAGCTAGAAATGTGTATGCTGTTCCAAGTGTGAGTGTGTGTGTGGATCTGACCTTTCACCCACTTCAAGAGAACCTCTGGGCTGAGAACCGCTGACTATAGTGGGTAGCAGTCAAAATAAACCCACACACAAACACACACACACACACACACACACAAGCTGGTAGTAGAAATGCAGATCATGAACACACCCAAAGGCACACATAAATAAGACTTAACATATAACTCAAGTTCATACTCCATAAACCACACAGCTCTGAAGGCAAACGAGACAGACGGTCTATTGAACAGCTCGGGTCAAAGATCCCACAAGTTATTCCAGAATCCACAATATATGCATTGTCAGATTTTCCTTTGATGATAAAATGCCTAGAAGAGCCAAATAAATGAACAACATGCTTTGGCTAAAACTATCTCAATGTTCTTGCCCTTTTTGTCAGTCTGGTTTCGTTTTTTCCTCAGTAAGTTGGGAAATTCCTTTGTGTGGTGGACAAGTTGCAGCTCCTTTTTTCTCTCAGCAGCAGTTAAACTATCTTGTAAAGGTGAAATATCTTGTTTCGTAAGGGTGCCATGTAGATCACATGCTTTTAGATTCCTCTTTCTCCCCCTGACCCTATCTCGGTCTTCAGATTGAGGAAAATAGAAATGACATGCATGCAGAGGAAGGGAAGGGGTCATGGCAAGAAGAATGTGCTGACACAGACCACTGCCTCAGAACGGCACTTTCCAGGAATAAAGTGCACTTTGGTGTTCAATTATTTTTTTTGAACGCATTAGAAATACAAATTCCATATTTTTTGTGAGAACTATTGGATAGTTTCGAGAAACTATTATCCAGGGTTATTGTAGTTAACTGTACCTAAATCTAAACCTAAAACCATCAAAAAACATTTTCATTACTTGAAAAAGAATAATGTTAAAACCATTGTTATAACGTTACATAAACACTGTAAAATTGTAAACCAGAATAAAATTAAATATAAAAAATATTGTTTGTATTTAACACATTTTCAACAGTTAAAAACTGTTTAAGTTGGTGTAAATAAAACTTAAAAAGAATAAAATAACTAGACATTTTTAAAAAACAAAAATACAAGAAAACTTACTATAACTGAAATTAAAATGAAAACAGAAATTATTAAAATAGAAATTAATCAAAATATTTTTAAAAAGTAAAATAGCATCAAATTGTAGTGCTGTCTGCATTTGTAAAGCTCAAGCATTCAACCCTGTCACTGCATGAAAAAAATTACACAAATATTTTTCTCGAATTAATGTGAAGCATAAATTTATCACTACTAACAAAGTAACCTTTAGTCCCAAACTAGCTAGGCCTTATAGCTTTGCTAGCTTTATTTATGCTAAACCTATAACCCTGTTATCCATTGGCATAGTTTTTTCTTGCTGTTATTTCATACAGACCTTATGAGAGGAACATTGTCCAGAGTACAGCACATGGTTGGTCCCCTCTGCATTGGCAGATCCACCTCACATGACTGGTTATACATCCTGTAAGTAAACAAATACACAAACAACCATGTTATTAATACACATATGGAGTTAAAACAGAGCCAAAATGAGTCCATCAGGTCTGTGGGAGTCTACTTTGAGATACTTTGAGATTTGCTCACTGGGCATAAATAATAATCAATCAGATCTGAGTGTATTTCTCTCTGTGAATTTGTACAAGTTACAAGTTACACACCGCTGCATTCCTACTGTACACTGGATGATACGACCACAGCTACAACTCACTTCCAGTATAAACGTGTTTTGACAGTCGCCATAACTTCGATTCATACTACACCATGCAGAACTCAAGGCAAACATAATGTGGTTACACTTCATTACTAAAGCAAACACATCCCGCACTACAGGACTAATGCTCCTCCCTCCAAGCGAAAAAAGTAAATGAAAGACCACTGTTGTTTCCAGAGTGTAAAAATTACCCAGGAATGCAAAGCACTTTAAAAAGTAAAGGCAGCCTGTGGGCTACGTTTCATTAAAGGAGACATATTATGCCCCTTTTTACAATATGCAATATAAGTCTCTGGTGTCCCCAGAATGTGTGTGTGAAGTTTCAGATCAAAATACTCAACAGATCATTTATTATATAATTTTGAAAATGCCTATTTTGAGTGGAAGCAGAAACACGCTGTTTTTCGGGCCTGTTTCTTTAAATGCAAATAAGCTGCTGCTCCCCGCCCCCTTTTCCAGAATAGAGCTGCGCCATTACAGCTCGTATCTGCTAAAAACATCTGTTTTGGTTCTGATTGTCATGTTTATCGCGTTGAAATCATGCGTTTTAAACCATATGAGTTCAAATTTCTGATATACGGTTTTCTGAGTGCACACATCCGAAGCACACGGACAGAAAGCGGCTGTCACAGCATGTGAGTACTAAACTAAGTTCTCATTCACACACAAGTTTACGTTAAAAAACACACGAGTTACAAAAAACAGTCGGTTATGTCTGTGAAGGTAAACAGCTGGGAAATAAATCGCATGTTTATTTTAGATCTGTGTGGCAGCAGCAATATACAGTAAATAAATCAATAAATCCACTGCTCTGTTGTCTCCTCTGAGGCTGGGAATCTAAATAGTGTTCTGTGCTCGTCTGTGCAGACAAAGACAGAACAGTTAGTATGTTTTGCTCAAACTTTCGTCATGGCATTAGAACTAGTACACCGTTATCGCTTGCGAAAACACAATGATGGCGCCGTGGGTGTAAACTTACAGATTAAGGGGCGGTAATATTATAATGAGATCCCTTTGCCACGTCACCAAGGGAGCAAAATCAGATGCGCTCGTTTTCTCAGACGCTTGCAGAAAAAGGCTTCCCAAAACAAAGTTACTGGGTTAATCTTTTTCACATTTCCTTGGTTGGTAAGATGCACCGGGGAACTGATTATAGCACTTAAAACCTGGAAAAGTCTGATTTTTATGATATGTCACCTTTAAACAGACCAAATCTGATCTTGTTTGCTCAGCTTCAGCTCCACATATGACACCTAGTCAGAAAGTACACATTTTTCACTGATATTCTGGGACAGTGGGTTTTATTCATCACTCATATTAATGATGAGTAATCCTCGGCGACCGCCTCTGCTCACGGACCCACAAACAGACGCCATTATTACTGCTTTAAATAATTAAAGCACAATGTGCACCTCCCAAAGTCCAAGAGCAGCGCTAACACTGAAGTTACCTAGTCACCGCTATGCTCCATATGCTAATGTTTGACTAAAGCTCTCATGGTATGAAACACAAGTTAACCTGCGACTAACAATAAAAATAAACAGGATTCAATTTCTCACTGGTTAACACGTCCTTGAGCCAAATAAAGTTAATGAGAAACTCGTTCAACATCTCATATCAAATACACTACTCATTAGAGCAGATGACGCCAGAAGAAGTGTAGGAGATACAAAGTCAGGAGGTCTCTCTCTGATGTGGGCATGCACTTTAAAAAGGTGTTATCAGTAAATGATTAATAGCCTTAAAGCACATGCACCAAAATGAGCTCTTTTCTTTAAAAAGATGATTATATGCACATCAGTTAGCAACATAATAATAAACATGTAAAAATAATAATAAATTATAAAATGTTGTTTATAAAAAATAAACAAAAATAATACATATTTTTTTAAAAATTGACATTTAAAGTGTTAGTGTTTCATATTTCATGTGTATTATAGAATTTAACATTATTTAACATTTTAAAATATTTAATATAAAAATCATTCAATTAAAATATATAATAATATAAACTATATAATAATAAATAATAAAATATTAAATAGTATAAAGCAATATAAAAATGTAATATAAATAATAAATAAATTTAATAAATATGTAAATGTAATAAAATAATAAAAAGAAAACACAATAATCTTTAGTAAAATTCTTACCAGTTGTCCACAGGACAGACATGCTGGTTATACATGGCCATGGCATACCTGGAAAAATAGAAATTATGATACATTAGCCACACAATATAATCAGTGAAAACCAAAATAAAAGTTTTAAAAGAAGAAATAAGAACAAACTTATATTTCATTCCTATTTGCAAGGACAAATTTGTCTCATTTAAAAAGGATTGTGAAAAGTGAATTTCTGAACCTTTATTGTTGCATTGGTAATACTTTACAATTAGGTCTCATTTGATAACATTAGTTAATTCTTTAACTGACATGAACTAACAATAAACAATATATTTTTTACAGCATTTATTGTATTTAATAAAAACATTTATGTTTATGTCAGTTCACAGTGCATTATCTCATGTTAACAGATGCAACTTTTGATCTTAAAAAAGTATTAGTAAATGTTGAGATTAACAAAAAGATTAATAAAGGTTAAATAAATGCTTTAGAAGTATTGTTAATTGTTAGTTCATGTCAGCTAATGTAGTTAACTAATTAAACCTTCTAATGGTTAAGTGTTACCATTGCATCTGTACATAATAAACATCATGTAAACAGAATGGACATAAACAAATTTGAATGTCTTTGAATGCAACCACAATAAAACTGTTTCAAATCAATGTTTCAAGTCAAGCTGACCACAAAACCAATTGAAACCACTCATGTCTGAGATTACACAAAGAGACACAGTACAGGCCTAAGGCTTAGAGGTATGAAACATAGGCCTGTCACGATAACAACTTTTTGTTGTGCGATATATTGCCCCAGAAATAATTGCGATAAGTGATATTATTGTCATTTTATATATTGCGCGATAAGTAGATATATCGATTATTGCGACAGGCCTAATGAAACATATCAAATCCAGCAAGTTCCTTTATTATTAAACATGACGCTTATGGACAGACAGAAAGAGCTATCAAAAATATGCGTTGGTGTCCTACACCACTGCAGTATTCACTGATAAAACCAGAGTTGTATGACCTTTTGGCATGTTTCCTGCACCAAAAACCGGAAAACTCTAGAAATTTAGTCAATATGACCTGTACATCTTCAGCTTACATCGGCATTATGTGTCATTCTGATGCAACAAGGTCAACACCCTCCTGATCCAGTCACATCGGCCCTCAAGAGATGTCAATGAACACAGGACCATCAGATAACGGTCAAAGCAAACGTTTGCCTACAGATTTGAACAGAATCTGATGAAAGAGCATTTCCAAGCAAAACAAAAGTTGCTTACAAATGAACAATGAGACAAGAAAAGCTATTAAGTGCTCTGTGGAAAGTAAACACACACGGCACCTGCTGCTGGATAGCATCTCTGTCCATCTTTCTTCCATGCGGATCTCACTGTTGACATACACACACAAACACATTTGCATTTGTCCAGCATAACTGCATCTGACAGCACGCAGGGTCAGGAGTGGGCTAAGCAGCAATTAGGTTTGTTTTCATCTCAAGTAAATGTGTGTGTGTGTGATAAAAATTATTTTGTGGTGAAGTAAATACTACATAAAAACAGATGTAATTTCTACATTAAATAATTTAGTTCAGGCAAGAATTTAAAAAATAAAGTAAATTCTATATTAGTACTCAGTTTAAGCTTGTATAAATTAAAGTTTGAACTTATAAGTATATTTTACTTGGAATTGTTTGTTATGTTTGCAAGGATTCTTTAAGTAAATATCAAAGTTATGATTCCGTTTTTCCCATCATGCACTGGGGTATGAATAATTAAAAAGGTTACATTTTTCACTGTTTTCGAGTTGTATTTACGCTGTAATTGATGTTGTTAGGTTTAGTAACTTACTGTTTTGTGACATCTGGAGTTCATTTTCTGCTCAAAATTACCCATTCATACTCAAAACACTATTCACTGATTGTTACCGTCATTGTGTATTGTGTACGAAGTATTGAGGTCTCTGTGTTCATTTGGGTAATAATTATATTGAGTGGACATATTACCTTAAAAGTAGGGATGTAATGACTAACCGCGAGCTGGTTGAAAATCGATTCAAATATATGAGGATTCAAATCGGTTGAGATACTAAACAAATTGCGATTAATTTAGGTGTAGGAGTTTATATGAATGTGTGTCTGAAGGGAACTTACTGTCTTTAGAAAAGTTTAGATGGTATTTTTTCTTTTTATCTTGCCTCTGTATAATGCATATTAAAGTTCATAAGCGCAACGCTGCTTTGTTTACAGCGGAAACCAGGAAACACTTTAAGCGCCACCTGCTGGCAGAGAGTGAATCTGCATCTCATTCAGCTCTGCTTAAATCTCATTTTGTTAAAAAAAAAATCGTGAATTGAATTGAATCGTGAAATCAAAATTGTGATTCGAATTGAATCGTGAGTTGAGTGAATCGTTACATCCCTACTTAAAAGGATAACAAGCTGTCTACTTGCTTACTTACATGTTTGTAAGCGAACCACATGCTTTAATAGCATGGTTTTTCCCAGTGCCACATTGTTTGACTAAATTTTATAAACCATGAATGAATGAAATGTACTTGAGTATTACAGATTTAACTTAAAAATAATAAGTAGAAATTACTCATCAAACTCTAACTGGCTACGTTAAATTTACTTATTTCCTTTGCTAAATACATTTTACTTAATTCAAAACTTAAATTTTACTTAAAATATATGTGTGCAAAAACTTGCAAAAGAAAAATTAAGTAAATCTTACTTATTATTTTTTTCAGAGAAATAACTGTTATTTAACAGCACAATTTTTTACAGTGATAAGCATTACTTAAGTAAAATTTACAAACAAAGAGTCAATAAAATTTACTGGAAATTCACAAGTAAACTTAACTTAAAAATTTCTATTTAAAGCTTCTAATAATTATGTTTAGGCTTTTACTTGGCAAATTTTTGTAAATTAACTAGCCTTTTCTGAGTGAAAATTGTTTCCAAGCTTTTTTCAAGTAAATCCTACTCTAAATTTTTTTCAGTGTGTGTGTGTCCACAAGAGACAGATCACCTGAGCCTTGCACTACACTTAGCACAATGCTGAGAGAAATTACATTTGGTAAACAAACATTCTGCCATCTGCCCTGGCTGGTGTTGTGAATAATCACGCAAGCTGTTACCAGGTCACTCTCAACATCACAAAGAGTCACACAGGCCTTCCTCAGAAAACACAGTCTGGATACAGAGTAACCCCCAGCCCATCTGCTCACCATAAGATTTGGATTCGCTCTCTGAAATAACTCGTGGCAGAAGTCGATAGTGACTTTTTTGGCTAAACAATACTTCTTCATTTTTGTTCTTTCAAAGGGATAGTACATACAAAAATTACATTTCCGTCATCATTTACTCAAAATCGTGTCATTCTAAACCTGTATGACTTTCTTTCTTCTGTGGAACATAAAATATAATTTAAATAATGTTGATAACCAAACAGATTTGGTGATTATTGACTTCCATTGTATAAACTAAAAACACTGTGACATGTTCTGCAGAAGAAAGTCTTACAAAATGGGGTGATTAAATGACAGAATTTTCATTTCTAGATCACTTTAAATAAAGACTTAAGTTAAGCCCTGACGAAGGTTTATAGTATTTGCTCATTTCCAAGTCAAAACTAGAATGGAAATACTAAAGCCTGGAATAGGAATGTCCAAAAATTATTTCAACAATTTTTAAAGCAAAGGAGTTGCATTTTTCAACATCAAACTGATTTGTGTAAGGAAATCAGTTTTATTTACTATTGTTTGCATTCTGCTGAGTCAATTGCAAAAACAGTGACAGATTTGAGAGCACAACTAAAAATGTGTAATGTGGACGAAAAGTGCTGCAAACTGATATGTAACCACATGATAAAAATATTAATTAATGCATTTATTTTTTTACATTCTATATATTTTCAACGTTTTAAAATTATATATTGTGTTTTTTAAATAATAATTATATTGTACAAAAATCTTTAAAAATGTATCACAGTTTCCACAAAAATATTAAGCAGCAAAACTGTTTTCAAGATTGATAATAATAAGAAATGTTTCTTGAGCAGCAAAGCAGCATATTAGTCTGGAGTACACTAAGACAGTACTCTCCTATCTAAGAAAGAGGCTAGGCTGAATGCTTCATAATGTTAGAAACATGTTTTAATTAATGAACCCTCTTCTAATTGCTTATTGCTCCGGGTGTGTGTTCACGGTGTGTGTGCATGTTTGTTCACTACTCACTGCTGTGTGTGTGCACTTGGATGGGTTAAATGCAGAGCACAAATTCCAAGTATGGGACACCATACTTGGCCACACGTCACGTCCTTTCCTTTCCTTTCCTTTTATGTCTTTTTACGAACAACCTCCTAAACAGATGGCAGGCTCCACCAGTGTCCATACTCCCTCCATTCAACATCATATACTCCGGTCATTCACAAAGACATCTTGTGCTGCGCATCCACAGCAGGTACAGTGGGTACGGAAAGTATTCAGACCCCCTTAAATTTTTCACTCTGTTATATGTGAGAAATTAATCAGCAAGAGCTTTAGGTCCAATCAAACCAAACCTGATCTGATTGGAAAATTAGGCTACATCCCCAACCAGAGATGCACAATGCTAATATTTCCAAACCTTTTATCACAAACACAGAGGACACAGATGTAGCACTGACAGTTTCAGCTGTTACCGTGCACAAGCTTTAAAATATAAAGCCTTTGTTATGAATAAATATTCTCAGTGTTGTTTGCATAAACAATGTGTTCAACGTTGCAGGGAACAGCGCATATTTGTGGGACTATTCAAGCCTGTGTGACGTTACCATAAACAACAGCCTCAACGTATAGTAATAACGTCCAAGTGGAAACACTGACTTGGAAACTTACCCTCACATAAATGGAAATGTTTTTTTTTACAATGTAGCCTGAATAATTTAAACAACCGTTTCACTGGGGGCTACGTACTACTCAAAAACTGCCTATAACGTTTAACTAAAAAAAACGTACATTTTGATTAAATTCAGTGTGACTATTCAGCAAACATTTTCAGTTGTGCTCTGAACTGTTAGTTGTTGTTATTTTTGGAAACCGTAACTCATTTCTTTTATAGGTCATAATTAGAAGTTTCATTTTCAGCTATGAAAACATGCCCTTTCTTGCACAGATAATGGAATAAAAAGTCTCTAGAATGGGCCACGTTTAGTCCATGTTGTATTGGGAACTTCTCCCAGACCGTCACTACAGGAGTCATGGCAAGAATAAACCAAACATTCTCTCTCTGGCATAGTAAATGAGAAGCCGCTGATGCTGCTCTAAGTTGCCCTCCTCTGTTTTACTCTCACAGGCTTTATGTAACCACCTCAGTGACTTCAAACTCAAGGCTCTACAGGAGAGGAAGGGGATCTTGAACTCCCTGTAGAAACAGGGCGCCTGCAAGCATTCCACAGGAAGGAAGTAGGGACAAGCAATGAGACGCCAGCATAGCTCTGCACCTTCAAGCAAATAAAACTGCATAAAAGGTATTCCACATCCACTTGATCACAGACTTCCAACAACTGTGATCACACATGAAGTTAAAAAACTGATTTCCTTTAAAATTACTCTTCAGTCAATCACATGCCGGTTCATGCACAGCTCTCTTCCTGAACATCATGGGTATTCTCTCCATTTCTGTACCATGACGACTTTACTAAAAATGACCTCAAAGTCTTCAACATTTTTCAGGCAAGTTCAGGCGAGTCAGTCATGGGCAGCTTTGCAGAATTTATGTATAGCCCACTCCTCAAAGAGTAGCTTCAGGAATTTGACTATAAATTCTACTGAAAGTGGCTGCATTTCAGATGTTTTGGCTTATGATTTAATACTTGCAGAAATAATACACCTTTCCACAACAAATTATGTTACATTGAAAACTGCACAATTCAGATGCAACTTTGAGGTGTTTAAAACAAAAACAAAAACAAAAAAACGAGACATTATTTTGGGAGAGATAGAAGGCAATCTCTGTATACTATTAAAAAAAACATTTCAATGCAGCACAAACATAAAACTAGGGTTGGGTACCGAAACCCGGTACCAATATGGCACCGGTACCTATGTAACCGGTATGTACTAGAACCGAATCCGAACGCAGATTTCGGTGCCTCATTTCGATGCCATGCCTGAACGATCGACTGAAATATTTGTCCTCTGGTTCTCCGAAACGGACGTAAGTTAGCAATAGATTATAAATTAGGGTGACCATATGTCCTCTTTTCGCCGGACATGTCCTCTTTTTGGACCAACAAAAATGCATCCGGCCGGGATTTCTTAATTGCCCAAAATGTCCGGGATTCGGCTTTTTTCTTATCCAAGCAGCTGAGTCCTTAATATTTTCAAGAAACGGCTGAAAACACATCTCTTTCATCTTCATTTGACCCTCTAGCTCTAGCACTCTCTATTCTAATGCTATTTATAATTTTATCTGCTTGTTTTTTTTAATTTAAAAAACTTGACCCTCTAACATTTGCACTCTCTATTCTATTTCTATTATAATGGCCAATCCATAATTTTTGGGGGATTTTTTATTTATTTATATTTTAATAAGTATCGGTTCAGGCACCGTTTAGGCACCGGAACCGTTTTAAAAGTATCAATTTGGCACCGGTATCGAAAAAAACCCAAACGATACCCAACCCTACATAAAACTGTTATATATTTGCATAAAACTAACTGGCTTCAACATATTCTACATGTACCAGGAAACGCTCTCAGAATTTGTTCTGACAAGGTTCTCTCAAAGTTCTGAACAGATGTTCTTCCCATACATTAACACAATGCATGTTAAAAATTCTCAATAATGTTCTCAAAACATTACCACAAAAACATTATTTATGCATTGTTCATGGAATGTGTTTTCCTGAAATGTTTTATTTGGATGATCGTCTAATGTTTTCAAATGCTACTACTTGTTTCAATTTGTTCAGAGAACATTTAAAAGTAACGTTTCCATAATATTTGCAAAATTATTAAATGAAATATAACCATATTCTTAGCTAAACCAAGACATTTTGAACATTCAGAGAACATAATGGTAACTTAATGGAAATGTTAGCAAAACATCCTTTTTCGTTAGCTGGGCACTGGTTACATCACACTATTAAATTTGTAACATATAAAAGCTACATCATTTATTCTTCCAGACCATAAAGTTGCAAATTGACCAAGACTGTAAAATAAACACTGTTGAATTGGTGTGCATCCAGTTAAAATCAAACTAGGTTGAAAGCTATGTAATGATCTATCAAAGCATACATGACACCTGCACGTTATCCATAATAGGTATGGATCCAGAGCATGATCCATATCCATATCAATATCCAAGCATGATCGTTTCATATGATATGACATAAAATGGACTTACACGACCCATATTCCAGTGATGGTGAGAGCTGGGAGGCTGACGGGTAATATCATCCACAGAGACATCTCCTGCACACGATCCTCTACTGCTCCCTTCAAAAAATCCACTTCTTTCGCCTTCGCCAGCCTGTCTCCCTCTGCTCATCAATGCGCATTTATACTTGTTGCATGACCCCCAAACTGGCTTATCTTAAAGATCATATCTGCAAAACAAAATAAATCTTCTTTACAATGACAAAAACATGATAAACAGTTCCCTAGACTGTTACCTGGCATTTTGCATGTATGATATTGTAATGCACAATGCATACCTGTTTGCCAAGCTTTGAAATCTGCATTATTCTACACACATTTTTACACTTTTGTTTATTTTGTAAACATTCTTAACTCGTACTTTATATCTGTTATTCTGTCTATGCTCTTCTCTGGACCTGTAGAAACAACAGAGCATTTCGTTGCCTGCAATTACTGCTGCATGCATAGCTGGTGTGCATTTGAATGAATAAATGTGACTATAATTGAAAACTGAGTCGCTTATAAATGTATAAATACATCGCATGTATAAATACATCCTTTTGGTAACAAGGCAAAATGGCCGAGTGAAGGTGCAGTTTAACCTAATTGTAACATCCGTGTGTGTAGTGTATGTGTGGACACTGTATCTCACCTTCCCCCCTGTGATAGGGGACAGCAGACGCGTCTCCCACCTTTGTTAAACTCTCAGACAGAGCGCAGACTGTTCAGAAACGGACCGCATCAATCGCCAGTGACCGCTACAGGTTTATCGTTATTCCTCAAGCGTCCAAATGACAGCGGCTGTGTAAAGTTCCTTCGCTCTCGGTGTTTTTCGGCAGATTTGTGGTGCCTCGCTCCTCTGTCTCGTGTCCCGCCGTGTGGACTGAAGGCTCACTGTTTAAAACAGTCCAGCTGTTCGCACAGCTCCGCCTCCCGACACAACCCTAACACACACTGCAACATCCTGATACACTGTACTAAATGTTTGTCATTTTGAAGTGAAACGATGTACAAAAACCTCTACTGAGAAAAACACGAAGTGTTTACGTACTGTACGTTATCCTACACGGAAACTAGATATAGATACAATACATGTAAAAGAGATAAAAATCATTTAATGTACAATAAACAGCTATATTACATTCAACATGTGTTTGAAGTGTAGTTATATGTAGGCCTGTATTCAGTGTTGGGGAGTAACTAGTTACATGTAACGACGTTACGTAATTAAATTACAAAATAAATGTAACTAATCAGAAAATAACACAAAAATTTTTAATTAAATTACAGTTACTTATGAAAATGTTAATGATTACAATTTTCACACACACACACACACACACACACACACACACACACACACACACACACACACACACACACACACACATAGAGAGAGAGAGATTTAACTGATTTCTTTCCCAAATTGCATTGACTGCTCTAAAATATGAAATAATGTTTCAGGAGTTTAGACACAGAATAGGACACCTGCTTATTCAATAACTGTTTTATTTCCTATTTTGGTTTATGTATATACTTTATTTTTAGGATGAACTGTTTTTACCAAGGCATTGTTATATGCCAGTGTTTCCTATCATAGCTATGCAAAGATTTGATTTCTAAAACAGTTTCATAGCTATTAATCTATTTCTTGTTAGAATTTTAAATCTGTATTTAACCTCAGAACGATCTCAAAGTAAAAAGAGGTGCTAAAATCTGCCTTTTATAGGCTATTATAGATATTATAATTCTAATTTCTAATTTTAATCATGGTTTATAAAAAGCCTAAATTAATAACATTACAAATACTTTAGTTGTTGAAGTAATCTAATTCGTTACAATTTGATGCAATGTCATGACGTACTTGCTGAGAATTATCTAATTAAGTTACTGATATTTGATTTGGCAGTTCTTAATTATCATCTTTGATAATACACGTCCCCAACACTTTCAGCCATCTTCAAATGTTATTCATGTTACTTAATGTTAACTAAAATTCAACTTTCCATGCAAATTGTTATGCTGATAATATAATTTGTAATAATAATTATTAAAAAAAAATCATTAAGAGGATAGGAAAAAATGCAAGTGTTTTCACTAGTGGTCAGTGGTCACAGACTTTGACCAGTGTCTTGAATCATGAACAATTGCTTGTCATCTTCAAGTTAGAATCTCTGCTTATTTTCCTTTCAAACTATTTAACACCAGTTACGTTTCTGTTTAGATGAGCTATGTTGACCTGACTGGCTAATGTCTTGAAAAACTTTGCAATGAGTGCAATGCTTTTTTAGGCCTCAGACATCATTGCATCAAAAGTTGAGCTACCTCTGAAGTAAACCATTACAAGTGACAGAATAAGTTAGCTAAACAATCTTGTTGAATGAACATGATTATCATTATAATACGTATGTCTTGTCTATGAAAAGCTGCTACTTGTATTTAATAAAGTGGTTGTACATCCAGATGTTTTGTTCTGCTTGACAAGATATACGATTCATGATCTAAACACTTACATAAGGTTTTAGTACTGATAGTTCCCCTCTGATTAGATGTGCTACTGGTGTTGTAATGTTCAATGCATTACTCATCTTGTCTAAAAAGCACTTTTTATCAGACAAGCATCAGAGCTGACACTGTTGGTCACAGGGATGGTCAGATTTTCAGAATAGCTGTTACCAAACGTGTTCTGTCCACATAATAGCCTACTATGAAAACAATACTCAACAATAAATATGGTCTTTAATTAAATACAGTTTCTATTTCTACAAATTGCCATAGCAACAACCAATATGAAGAAAAGAAAACACTATTTCACAGCTGTACTATTGCTGCATAACAGCAAGCCTAATCAGTGTTTACATTGCTGCGTGTTTCTTCACCATCTTTTCTTTGTTGTTTTGATGTTTTGACGTAACCAGCTGACGCTATGTGTAAATGATGAAAATAATATTCATGGATAAGAACGTGGTCAGAAGAATGAGTGATGTATGAGTCATAAAAACAGGCTTGTGAATGTAGATATTGATTGTGAAAAGTTTGTTTCATTTGAACATATAAATATTTTTAAGCCTGGCAATGATGACTTAGTCATATCGATTATTGTAATACATTTTAAAATGTGTTAATGTGTCAAATAAAACAATACAAAATACAAAACACAAGAATTGCTTATTAAGAAAAAAAAAGTCTGACAAATCTCACTTTAAAAAAGTTCGGAATGTCTCCATCTAGTGGATGTGTTTTGAATAAAAAAAAAAGAAGGACATTACAAAGAGTCATGCATTTTTATTTGATTAGAATCCTTTCAGATATGTCATGAAATACAGTATTTTCTCCGTGTATTAAAATACAAATATACAGTATTGTCTTATATTGTAACTTGTAATGGAATCACCATAGCAACACAGCATATAAAAAGATTCACATTAAACATGTTTCTTCATTTGTCATATATAATAATCTTTATATCTAGAATTCTTAGTTTTCTGTGTACCATAGCACACAAAATATACCCAGTCTCTATGTTTCTCATGGGGTTCAGAGTGCTGCAAGCATTTTGAACAAAGAAATAACTAAATAAATAAATCAATAAGCTAATTTATGCATTACACATACAAAAATATGTTGTTTTTTTTTAGGATCGCCCACTGCTGATAGTGAAAACTGATGTTTATATAGCCACTGATATATAGGCCTATACATCAGAATGACTGTCAGTGATTCATATTTTAAATGCCCAGGGAAGGAAAGTAGCTCACTTCCTGTTCTCACTGAATTGACTATGATAAATAAGATACAATGCATATGGGAGAACCACATTCTGATGAACACTTTACTCTATAATTACAGCCGTACTGTACTCCCATATCCCCAGACTCCAAGGCCAGGGTACAGAGGCTCAGTGAATTTAGCTTGAACCTTGTGCAAGAGCTTCATGGTGTCAGACACACTGTGAAACGCCACTGTTCCAGCCTCGTAATCTACATACACCCCTATCCTTGAGGAATTGGGGACAGGTATAGTTGTGCTTTTGCTGTTATGTACAAAAGAGTACTTGGATTCAGAGCAGTACAAACTCCAAGACTTGTCATTCCCCCCAAAGCTGCCAGCGTTGTCATTTCCTTTCCTCTGAATCCCCCTGTAAGTCACAGAGATGTCTATTTCTGTGCCACTCCACTCCACTTCCCAGTAGTAGCGACCGCCGGCCAGACCCTCCTTACACAGCACCTGCTGCCAGTATTCGAAGCGATCGGGATGCTCCGGGTACGACATTGGCTTGTTGCTCATCCGCACAACTGTGTTTCTGTCTGACAGGTGCAGGTTTGGATGGGCTGTTGAAGGATCCATTGAGAGCTGACAGGAATCTAGTTCGAGAACGGGTGTTGTTATATTAATCAGCATAAACAAATGTGTTTATGTAGCACATTGTCTTATTATTGATTATACTGATTTTAAACTTACATTCTAAAAACTCCTCCCTTTTTGCAGGGTCCAGAGTCTGGAGAATTTTAACCTCCTTCACTGCAAATTAAAAGCATGTACGGGTAAATATATTATATAATATATACATATATATATATATATATATATATACACTACCGTTCAAGAGTTTGGGGTCAGTAAGATTTATTTAAAAAATAAATTAATACTTTTATCTTTTTAAAAAAGACAGGAAAGAGGGTAAAGATTTTACAAACATTTCTATTCCAAATAAATGCAGTCCTTTTGAATTTCTTATTGTTCAAATTATAAAAAAAAAACTATAGCATGGTTTCTACAAAATACCATGGCAAATCAGCATATTAGAATGATTTCTGAAGGATCATGTGACACTGAAGACTGCTTAAAATTCAGCTTTGACATTACAGGAATAAATTACATTTCAAAATATATTAAAATAGAAAACAGTTTATTTATAAATTTGTAATAGAGAGTTTCAAACACCTGCAGATGAGATTTTGTTCAGTTCTTCTTTGCTTATGTCTTCTAATTGCACTTTCAGGTCAAAGATGGCTTTCTTTGCATTGTCAAAAGTGTGATGAGGGGCTAATGTCACCTTGGACAAGTCTTCATATCCAGAAGGAGCAGAAAGAGACTGCCAGCTCTAGGAGAAAATAAGCAGATATGTTATTTAAGGAACTGTTTAGTGAAAATGCAAATGCATTGTGGGCCACAGTGCTTTTCAACAATACCTGTAAGAAATGAATATGATCGTCGGATTGGGACAGCTGCTCCAGATCATTATGCTTCTTTCTCAGTAATGTAATCTCCTCCTCCAGCCTGGCCAGATGTCCCTCTGCACGTGTCAGCAGAAGGGTTTCCTGGGCTCGGATCATCTCCTTCACTTCTCCATGCCTCCTCTCTAGTGCCCGCAGCAGTTCCGCAAAAATACGCTCATTTTCATCTAGTACACTCTGAGATGAATGCTAGAATGAGAAAAACACCATGGATGAGACAGGGACTGTTTTTCACTTTTTTTTTTTTACCAGTCAAATGTTTCCTCACATTTAAGACAGGGAACAGATGAAACAGCAGAAGAACCTTTTGGGAATCTATAGTGAACAGTTCTTAAAAGAGCCATACATTTTAATAATCTAAAGAACCTTTTTCCATGATAAAGAACCTTTTGTAGAATGGAAAGGTTCCATGGATGTTACAGGTGCCATATGGAATCACTGATGCCAATAAAGATCCTTTATTTTTAAGAACACTGTACAATAAAGTTCAACTAACATTAGTTAAAGGGGTCATATGATGCGATTTCAATTTTTCCTTTCTCTTTGGAGTGTTACAAGCTCTTGGTGCATAAAGAAGATCTGTAAAGTTGCAAAGACTAAAGTCTCAAATCCAAAGAGATATTCTTTATAAAAGTTAAGAGTCAGCCACGCCCTCCTAAAACGGCTCGTTCTAACACACCCCCACATGTCTACGTCACGATGTGGGAAGATTTGCATAACGCCGCCCAAATGTTCACGCAAAGAAAGAAGGCGTAACTTTTATTCTCGCTGTAGTATTGTTGCCGCCGCCGCCATGTCGTGAAGGCGCTGTGTGATTCGTTGTGAAAGCGAAACTACTTTGTTTGGCCTTCCAAAATAGGACGATATCGCTTCATCATGCCTGGAGCTGATCCGTGCTGGTCGCTGAGGAAATACATCAACTTTGCGCTGTGGATCGCCAGATCGGCTTTCACCGTGGACGAAGCGGAGTCCAGCCCGGGGTCGTCACAAGTGGTTGCTGCAAGCCCTCTGGATGCTCCTTCGTCGAATCCGCCGGCCACGCCGTTCTCAAGCCCGCCGCCTCTGCTCACAAATATCATGAACTAACAATTTACAGTATTTAACAATCATTTGATTTATAATCATATATTCATGTTTAATACATGTTTATTCATGATACTTTAATTAATGTTAACTTGTACATCCTAAAATGCATTAGGATAGGTGCAGGGATTCCAAAAGTTTTTTTCAACAGAACCCGTTTGACCAAAACGTTTTACTTGAAGAATCACCTGAGATTATAAAGCATTTCAATAAATGAGCAACACATTTGAATCCACACATTTCTTCACAGTTCTCATTGTCGGTTAATGGTCAAATGACGTTTTTTTTTTTTTTTTTTTTTTTTAATATTCTATTTTGACTGATTTTTTTCAATTACATTTTTATGATTTAATGAATTATTAGCTTTTCATTAACTCACAAGGTCCTTGCAGTTTCCTCACAAACCCCGCTTTGGGAAACCCTGACCTAGTGCATTAACAAATTACAACAAATTAAACCTCACTGCAGCAGCAGTTTATTTAACATAAGCAATTAACTAACATAATAGATATGAACAGAAATTTCTTCCCAATGATTTTCTAAATTCCTCACTTTTAGGGATGCAACTGTCTGCCTGAGATCTTGCCATTTCTTTATCCTTTCTTCAATTTTCTGCTGTGAAGACACCAGTTTAGCCCCAAGCTGTTTCTGTTAAAACAAATTGCACATTTGTGAGACATTGACCTGTTGATCTTCTCATTGTGAGAAAGCACTGAATTTATAACGATCATGATTTAGTTGCATTGAGTAGCATAGCCACTGTACGCTTCTTCATGTCAGTCAATGTTCTCTCAGCTGATAAGCTCACCTGCTTTTCTGTCCGTTCAGCAGCTGCTGAAACAATATCATGTTTTTTGTGTTCCTCCATGATACACAAAACACAAACGCATGCTTGGTCAGAACGGCAGAAAACCTCCAAAAGTTTATCGTGTTCCGCGCAGATCTTCTCACGCAGTTGCCCTGTTGCCGCCACCAGTTTGTGCTTCATGAGAGCTGGATACTCATAATGAGCCTGGAGATGCGTCTCACAAAATGAGGTTAAGCATGTCAGACATGACTTCACTGCTTTGTTCTTCTTAGCCAGACAGAAATCACACTGCACTTCTCTAGAGCTGTTCCGGCTGCTGGAGCTGCTGTATCTTCCAGACCGCCCGGGTTTTTCCAGAGTGCTGTAACGGCTTTGGTTTGCTGTACTTCTCCGAGACATGTTTAAACTCTCTTGGCATCATCCAAAGGCAAGCGGTAAAATGTAGGCTAGTTTCAATGAAACTGTACCGACACATCCATTATATAGAGGAATGTGAAGCATGTGCGATAAACCAGTTTACCAGGTTAGGGTGACACCACCTGGATAGGTGTGACAGCTGATGTCAGAACAAAGAGAAAAGCAAATATGTGAATTTTGTAACATAAACATTGTAAACATCTTTTACACACACAAGGCCATTGTGTTGGTGATCCACAATGAGGAATAAAAGACTGCGGTTTCAGCTGTAAATATTTTATGATGTCAGGCTCAAAAAAGCTGTGTAAATTTCCTCTAGTGAAAACGTGATAAACAATGAAAACTTGATTTCTCTATATAAACTGTTGACTCTTGCAACACTGAAAAAAGTATACTGCAATTAAATTTCCACATGCAACTGAAGCATCAGTTTATTTGATTTTAAATTACACACATTCACAAACATATATGTCTAGATTAATGATCTAAAATAGCTTTCCTGAGGCGTATCCAGAATCCCATGTTACTCAAAGGGTCTCTGCTCCACTTTAGGTATGTGTTCTTTTTCAGATGCTTATGAAGTCCAAACACTTTCTTAGTCTTCCTCTCTTCCACATCTTCCAGAATGATGATGATGATGTTGGCACTGCGTTCCATCATAAAGCGAGACTGAGCTAATTCAAACTCAAAGCGACACCAGGCACTATCAATGAAGTGTTGAGACACGACCACAATGATTTTACGACTGCCCATTATACCTTCATCGATAATGTTGGAGGCGATGGACTTCCCTGCTTGAAAGTCCCGCATATGAAGGCAAAGCTGAATAGGTGGAACACTGTTCTCCAGATTCTCCATCAGTTCATTCATGACCCAGACTTCATCATAGCTGGAGAAAATCACAAATGCGTCATAGGAACATTCTTGCTGTCCAGGTGATCTATAGCCTCTCAGTAGAATACAGCAATACTGAAGATAAAACTGGAACCTATAAACCAAGAATGACAAAAGAACTACTACTGTAACAAAACATACAGATAAAACAATTGTGAGTCTTTTCTTGTGCACACAGCTGTCAATGTCAAAGTCTGTTGTTCTAAAATCTGTGGTTTTACAGAAAATATTTTCCGGCTGCTTCAAAATGTTCTGATTGTGGATAATCCACCAAATAAAATCTGTCTGGAAGCAGAAGCAATCGATGGGGTTAGAGGATAAATCAAACTCTGAAAGGTTTGTGGGCAACTTTTGGAGAACATGAAGTGGGATGCTAGTAATGCTGTTTTTATCGACATAAAGTGATGTTAATTGTTTCAGGTTTGGGAGGGCCAGAAAATCCAAAATCATCAACTTGTTTTGACTTAAATATAAATACCGTATTTTCTGGGTGCCAATAAATGATCTCCTGGAGATTTCTTCAATGCCACAGTGTGAGAGGTCAAGAACCTCCAAACATGTTAGATTTTGCAAGAGGTAACTCAATGCATCACCATGAAAACTGTTTCCTGCCATTTTAAGCACAGTCAAGTTGTTCAGGTTCTGAAAAATCATTTGTCTTGTGAAAGTAATACTTGTGTAAGATATATCCAAATACTTTAAATTTTTCAGACCATGTAAAAATCCAAAGTAAAAAACTAGGACTAGTTTTGTATGGTGGAGGTCCAACAATTCAAGCAAGTCTAATCCAGAAAATGGCTTATCCGCAATCCCTATCTCTGTGTTTTGACTAAAATTCATGTAATGAATATTTGGTGTCCTTTGAAAAAATTGGGAACAGCAGTCCTTCAAAATCAAAAAGTTTCCACTCAAATCTACAAACTGAAGAAGAGGCAAATCACTAATACCATTAAAGGTCATGGGCATATTGTTCCTCACCACTAGTTTTTCTAAGCTAGGTATGTGTGAAATCAATGGTACAGCTGATAATGAAGTGGGGCCTAAATACAGTTCTTTAAGACGATGAAATGGAATATATTCCAAGCTTTTAATATATCCTCTTTTCAATATGATTTTTGTCGCATTGATCATACAGCGGAACAAGTGCATTTCAGAGTCAGAAAATTCTTTCTGAACAAAATATATTTCATTGAAATTAATTGAGCAAAGACCATCAAGATAACTTCCATTTGACACTTTGACTTTCCGTTGCATTCTGTAACTTCCTATGAACAACTTATCCACACTGAGACCAGTAAGAGCTTCTAGACACTCCTTTTGTGCATTTAATGAAGCAAAGGAAGATTGTATGTGAAACTCCTTGAGATAAATGTCTTTGAAAGCTCCTGGTTCAATGTGTAATAATTGATTCCTAGAGAGAATCAAAGTCATGTTTCTGCCGATCTCTCGCAACACAACTGTGTCATCGGTTTTGATGATGGATATATTATTGGCATGTAGATCAAGTAAACTGAAGTCTTTGAAGGTGCTCATGAATGGAGGGAGAGACATGGACTGTATGTTATTTGTCCCGACTCTAAGCTCCTGCAACTTGGTTAGGTTATTCATTTGAAGCTGTAATGACGAGAGACCAACATCCACAAGAACTAGTCTTTGTAGATTATGTAAAGAATTTAAGCATCCAGGCCCAAAATATGTAATAGGGTTTCCAGTGAGAATCAAAGTAGTCAAATTCTTCACATTGTAGAAAGTATCATTTTCAATGTGCTTGATGTGGCATCTGAAAGGCAAAAAGATTAAAAATTAGTCAATTTAAAAAAAAATAGCTAACGTATAAATTGTAACATAATGATTCATGAGTGTTAATTTACCTCGTGAGATCCAAGACTTGCAAACTGACCAATACAGGAAATGCACACTTATGTAAAGAGCTCAAGAAATTGAAACTGAAATCCAGAGACATCACAGTGAAGGGAAGACTGTTGGGAATATGAGTCAAATTTCTTCCAGAACATGAGTACTCCATATTCTTGATTATCTAGAAATGAAAGAATGACACAGGAAAGGCCCCTTTTTTTTATTAACTTACTTACTTTTTTATTAACTTACTTTTGGTATTTTTGATTTTTTATTAACCTTCTTGTTCTCTCTGAGAGACACCAAGACATTTTTACGTTTCTATTAGATAGATAGATAGATAGATAGATAGATAGATAGATAGATAGATGACGTAGTTTCTAGATTTAAGACATAGTTTTAAAACATACATATGAGCAATATTAACTATATTATGTATTGTTCTTACCATGGTACATTCCTGTCCTTGTCCAGAACTCACCAAAAATAAGACTGAGCCTAGGAAAATCATCCATTCCCCATATGCCACGATCATTGTTAGAAATGATCTTGCGTGAGATTTATGAAAAACTTGATGTGACATAGAACAAACTGTTATACAGGAGATTCTAGATCCTACAGCAAACTAGGAGCTTTTCTCTCACTAGATCAATTTGACATAAATCTGAGTATTCTCTGCTGTCTTAGTATTGCATGTGCAAACATCAGTCACTTCTCCTTTTTGTTTTAAAAGGGAAGTTATTTGTTTCCAACGTACATTCCCATGATGCATAGAAAGACCTTAATTTTAAGTTTTCAAAAGGAGCTTTGCGTTGGGAAAACTGGTTTAACAACATGGCAAATTCTTCACATTGTATAAAATATTATTTCCTATGTGCTTGATGTGGCATCTAAAAGCAAATACATACATTTAATATAATGTATAGAGCAACATATTATACAATATATTTTAGATGGTAACAATATTGCTTACCTTGACAGATCAAGGACTCGCAAAAAAGACAAAACTGGTAAGTGTTTCAAAACATTAAAGGGGTCATATGATGCGATTTCAATTTTTCCTTTCTCTTTGGAGTGTTACAAGCTCTTGGTGCATCATGAAGATCTGTAAAGTTGCAAAGACTAAAGTCTCAAATCCAAAGAGATATTCTTTATAAAAGTTAAGAGTCAGCCACACCTACCTAAAACGGCTCGTTCTAACACGCCCCCACATATCTACGTCACTGTGTGGGAAGATTTGCATAACGCCGCCCAAATGTTCACGCAAAGAAAGAAGGCGTAACTTTTAGTCTCACTGTAGTTTTGTTGATGCTGCAGCCATGTCCTGAAGACGCTGTGTGCTTCGTTGTGAAAGCGAAACTACTTTGTTTGGTCTTTCAAAAGAGGAC